GGTTGGATGAGTCTGCACAACTAGCGATTATTTTCCATGTTAATCAACAACTGTTCGTTGGATATTTGAAATTGTATACCAGTTCCAGCAAAAGCTGACAATACTTTCTAAACGAGGTCTACCCACGGCCTTCCAGTGCCTGCTTTCAAATCATCAGGGCCTTCTTTTACAGTCTTATGTAATCGCCTTTCTACTTTCACCCTCCACGCCATGCGCCTTTAACTTCAAATCAGTAAACTTTATTTTCCAGTTATTCTGCATTTGAGGGTCTCGAATGAGTCCAAATGATTGTTCGAAAATGCCCAGGCAACTGGAAAATCTATGCACAGTTCCTCCAACTGAGATTTTTACAAGTCCATAAGCATCTATCTGACCCTTTGCCCCACCAACGTTGGCATTAAAGAGTAGTTTTTCTTTGCAGACCAGTTCACGGAACTTTTCACTGACTGCCAACGCTCCTTGACATTCGTCATGCTCTTGTCCATCCGACACCATCAGAACAGAAGCTCGAGCATCTGCCCAAAAATGCTGCGGACCCCATTCTGGAGACGTTCCATCCGTTGAAGTATTAAAAGTGTTCAGGATTTTGTAGAACCAGGGTATAAAATATTCTGCCAACTGTTGGCCATTAACATTAGTATCAAAAGAGGAATTACAAGAGACTGTCCCTGAAGGATTTGACGATGTTGTTCTAAGTTCTTCTCCATTATCCGCCAATTTTTCACTTTCGTTCTCATTTTCGTTGTCACTGTCCTGAAAGGAAGAAATTGGAAAATATTCTTTACTTGTCCATAAGATGAATGGGCCAATAGGTTTACTCATCGGTTAATTCCCAGACTGAATGGATACAAAAGATAACAACAGGCAGCGTGGCCGAGTAGTCAGCGCGTTGGACTAGCAATCCGGCGGTCCCGGGTTCGCGATCGCATGATCTCTTTTGCGCTGCCTTGTTCAACTAAAAGCTTTAAAAGATTTGTTTAAATATAAATCATTTTATTTTCATAGTTTCTGTTTTTCACTTTGATTTTCATTTATTTATGAGAAATGCTCCATTCTGAGATCATCAGATATCTAGATATCTGGGAATTGTGTGAACAATGTGTTCGGTACACAGCAATATCGTCTCACTCATCCTAGCTGAACTGACCATCATTTTTTTGTCATGCAGATTACATCATTTCATTTTTCACTTACTGTAACCACACCGCAAGCACTGATCGATGGTGCGAACATCTGAACGGGGAAGCTTTATGAAAAGAAGAGAGGGGATTCTCGCCTCACACGCCCTACTACTCTTACGCCACGCACGCTTTATCGATTTCTTTACTGATTTTGAGAAAAAACCCGACTGTTTTGCAGTCTAAGTGTGAGTCGTTTGTGAGGAGGAGCAAGGGTGGTGCAATGGTGAAAGCACTCGCCTCCCACCAATGTGGCCAGGGTTCAAATCCGAGTGTTGACACCATGTGTAACTGAGTTTGTAGTTGGTTCTCCCCTTTGCTCTGAGTGGTTTTCTTTGGGCACTCCGGTTTTCCCCTCGCCTCAAAACCCAATATTTCGAATCCCAGTTGGACAAGGAATGCTAGACCAAGAATCTCTACGTTGATGTGCTATATCTCAATCTTTATATATTTTATTAATTTTATAAACACTTTGTTACACCTTTCCCTCGAAGGATTTTTCACTATTTAGAGGGGCTGGGATATTGCTGTTTTAATAGGTCAATTCTGTGCTGAAGTAATTAACTAATTCCTTTACCCACACACAAATTGCCCCCTGTCAAGTTATTAAAAAGATATCACATGAGCTTCATCAAGGACCACTAACCATAATATTTTTGGGGCAATTTTTGCAGGCATGGCATTAAAACTTGAAAAAATTGCCTCAACTTTTTGATGTTTCAATCCATGTCTATCCTAGCCATCCAAAGTAACAAAACTGGACCTATTATTTTTGGAATTCAATAATGATGCGAAGACAAATTTTAGCTTTTCAGAAAGATAGCAAATAGCATGATATATCCCAAGCTACGACCTCTGACAAAACCAGTTGAGACACATTGCAATAATACCTGTTTTTTCTCATTATTCTGGCAAAAATGGAAACCATCACTGGATAAATGCTTATTTTTCCCCCTCCTGGCTTTATCCAATGTTGTTTATGATAACACGATAATTACACATGGTGGTTTTTAGGCCAAAACAACTTTGAATAGAGGGTGGGGAGGGGGTTTACTTTTTCTGTTTAGAGGAGATGGTAGTATGGCACAAAAGTTACAAATTAGATGGGACTGTCTTGACACTACAACCCTGTCTCCAGGGTTGTAGTGTCAAGTTTAGCCTACAGTGTACCTCTTGGGAACTGCCCCAATACAGAAGCAATCTTCTTATCAGAGTTGGCTTGTCTGATGAACCAGGTTCAACAACACCATTTTCAGCAAGGTATTGGTAAATGTGTTCACGTTTGACCTTTTTCCTTCTCAGCAATTGACCTGCAGTATGACTGTATGTTATTATGGCATCCACTGCCTCTGTCAAGTGTTTGAAAAAAGCACATAAATGGTGGGAAATGACAAAAGCTACAACAGTACAGATAATTTCCCAACTTTGTTTTTTATAAAACACAAGAAGTAGAATTTCTAAATAGTCGTAAATACTATGTAAATTATAACCTATATGTGTGCATTTTCAAAACCAAGGCACCCTTGTACTTCTTGATTCGTGAACCATACCCTTTTGTGTAAACTGATGTTTTATGACTTGGCTCCATTTTAAGCCAATTTTATTCCCAGCAAATTTCTTTAGTTAAAGAGATTGGCTCAATAATTAAGTCGCAGTGTGCTGTAAATTTGCTCTTTCTTCAAACAGACAAATTGTAGAGTGTAAACCTGCCTTGCCATATTAGCCTGAGACCAGGCTAAAAAAGGAGTAAAAATCAGCATTGGTGAAAAAAAAAAAAAATTGGGGCGCAAAGCGAGCCGAGAGGTAGTCTGGGGAGAGGGAAGGGTGGCAGAGCCTGGAGACATGCCTTTGATGCCGCTGATCCACCCTCCAGTAATTAACTAATCATTAAAATGTCAACACATCAAGTTCTCGTCATGGATGTCAGAGTGAGCTTATTATGTCACTTTTGTAAAAAAATATTTGAATTCGAAATGAAGTAATAGTGCAAGCAAAGAGATCTACTTGACTTTGATTGCCAACTGGAGTAACAGCAGCTTGGGCAAAGAGAAATAAAGATGTTTCAGAGGAAAATGTGCCACGTGCGACCAGGGAAGAACAGTCGAATAGACTTTCAAGGATATCCCTCAAGTTCGCAGTTCCCATTATAATGCTTGTTGACATACATATGGCAATGCTATTGGTAGAGTTGATATTCCGTGGAGGAGAAATGAAATTTGTAAGTTTAGCACCTTATGCGACAGACTATTCAGTTTGAGTGTATTCCTGTTGAATTTGTGTCTGCTAAAAATTGTGTAAGAATTAGTAATAATCATTTTCCCTGATTTTCCTCAACTGCTGTTATCTTTGTACCAGCCTGCGAGCAGAGGTTTCTCTCTTGCATGCATGGTTTTTAGCATTTACGAAGTCGTCTGCATTGCTTGTCAGTTGTGTATTTGGTTTGTTAACTACGCGACTGACAAGCGAGGCGGACCTTGTAAACCATTAACAACTTGTACAACAATTAACAACCATTAACAACTTGTACAACAATTAGCAATTATTGGACGAGGTTGAGCAAAATATCGTGATTTGTTGGTGGTGAGCAGATCAATTATTTGCCGAAGCAGAAGGCTGAGGCAAATAATTGACCTGCGAGACACTGACAAATCACAATATTTTGCAATAACTGAGTTCAATAATTGTTTTATCATACGATCACCGAGTTTGTTTTTTAAGGAATATCTTCAGGAAGCAAAGCAATCTGCCATTTTCATTCAAGAGCGATCGCAAGAAGGAGAAAAGCGTGGTTTCATTTACGCATGAGCAGAATAGTATTTGCAGCCAAAAACAGTTAAACGCATGAGCACACCATTATTTGCAGGTCACATGGTGGGCTCTCGGCCAATGAAAAGGAAGAAACATTTGCATCGAATGATAATAACCGTTGTACAGAAGTACTGCCACAGCTTGTACAAATTATGAGTGCAAGCTGTGGCAGTGCATTCCTCTGTTTTCAATCCATGGATGAATTTTTAATAATTAAATACCTTGGGTATTTTCAGGAGTTACTACTCGGTTCGTCACTGTATCTGTTAGAGTTAGCAAGTCCTTTTGAGGAAGTTTGTTCAAGATGGTTTTGCACCCTTCTTTTTCTCTGTCGGATAACATT